TATAATAGTGATTTTGTCGTTTGGAGATGTTGTGGGTTAACCCCATCAGGCAGCTCAGCCCCGCTCCAGTGGGAAAGAAGAGAGAATCATATGGGTAAAAGTGAGAAAACTAGTGGACTAAGATAAAGACAGTTTAAGATGTAAAGCCAAAGCTGCACACACAAGCAGAGCAAAAGAAGGAATTTATTCCCTACTGTTGGAACAGGCTGACCAGTGAGGTGGTGGAGTCACCATCATTGGAAGTGTTCAAAAAACGTGTGGACATGGCCCTTCGGGACATGGTTTAATGGGCATGGTGGTGTTGGGTTGATGGTTGGACTTGATGATCTTAAAGATCTTTTCCAACCTTAATGATTCTCTGATTTGCATGCTAGACTATGCAAAATAAACTGAGAGATAAACATCCCTTTGGTGGCTAAACTCCCACATCTATGCAAGCCAATGAAACCAACAAATTAAAAAGTCTGCAATTCCATTTCACAGAACATGGTTTATATGTCCAAAAGAACCCTAGTGACCACCTCCTTTGGTCTCCAGTGGAACACAAGATGCCAGACTGCGCTTGGATTTTAACTCTTGCTGAAGGGCTGCCCAGCTTTCAGCAATCTACTCTTTACTAGGGGTTGGAGTGTGTTCCAGGAAGAGCCTTGTGTCTTTGGTGCGTGTTCTCCACACTAGGGAGTGACACAAATCACACCAGAGCATTAGTGACAATTGGCAAGGCAACCTCCAGCCCCATGGCCAGAACAGATAGAGCTCACAGAAATACGGTATCAAGACGGGGGGGGTAGTAAAAACTAACAAAAAGGAAAGAGTGGATGACTAGTATTCAGAAGAAGAGCGCTCTCAATCTATATTTGCATAGCAACTAGTACAACAAAGCCCATGAGGGGTTCAGCTTTTAAATACTGTCATAATGCAAGTATTTTTCTGATGGCGCCCCTGACATCCCTGAGAGGCAAGAGCTGCCTGCCATGCCTAAGCCACCCTGCCTGGTCACGGAAAGGTAAGCAAAAGACGACTCCCCAGAAGACTGTCACTCCCGCAGCTGCTGCACACAAAGTGTAAATGGTTTAGAACACAAAGAAGGTAAGTGTCTCTTACTGCTATGTGAGAGGCAGATGCAGAAAGCAGGACAATGCATTTCAGCCAGCACCAAAACACCATCTGCTACCCACATCTGATTCACAAGCAGGATTACTTTATGATAAAAACCAATACACTCATATTTTTAAAGTATCTTGAGGGAATTCTCCACATGGGAGAATTCTGTACTTTGGGATTTTAAAAAAGCTTTACAAAATTTGTTAACTCCAGAATTATCTTCTGCACTTTGTCTGTCTGCTCTGTGACAAAATCAAACAGAAAAAAAACTTATGAGTCGTCTCATGACTACTCCAAACATCAGGGTTTGTTACTCCTACAGCCTGGCTGGGTCAAATCAGTCACCTCCTGCAAGGGACCAAAATCGGTCTCTTTTTAAGGTACCAGTCACTAGCACACAAACTCAACATTTAATTCACCTACATGGAAAAGTTTGCTTACTGGGAGCCAAAGGAGGGGACTGTCACACTGAACACCTCCATTAGCCTGGGTACAACTTCATCTGAAAACTCGCCACAAAGGGAAAACTACACACTATTCCTGGCTTCCTGGTCCTGCCATCTCCCTACAACTCAATCTGGAGATTGCGTGGTCTGATGGATCAGGGCACTTTTAGTCTGACCTGGCTCACCGCTCAGCCCTGTGATCATCCACTTTGACATGAAAAAAGTGGGGTAAACACAGGGTGGGGGAAGAGGTCAATACAATCACCCCTTCTGGCAGCAGTCAGTCAGATTCAGTGTTTTGCAAAACCACATCCCAAGCTGAGCATAGTCATCACTGTTACCCAACCCACAAGAGAAAAATCACAGTATTCTTAAATCAGTAACACAGAAATCTAGTGTGATATTTATCAAGTAAGCATGTTTCAGATTTGAAATCACTTTGTATGGTCTTCTATCAGAGGTTGCTGAAGTCAAACAGAAGTGCATTGTGGAAGTTAATCAAAACAGGTTACTTCTGGTTTCAGGTGTTTCTTTTGACAGCCATCCAACACATGGAAGCACATGAGTGCACTGGGACTACCCATATGAGCTTTAGACTCACTTCCAAGGGTTTAAAAAAATCTGTGCAACACCTGTTAGATCCATTTCCCTCACGTGAGACTGCAAAGGGCATTTCTATAGAACATTTGTGCAAGCAAAGCCCTGAGCATATGAACTGTGCACAGGGGTTTTTCAAAGAGTCTAACATAAACTACATTGGAAATGACTGAAGCTGGACAGATTTGTGAGAGCCTTCTCACAAATACTGTTTGTCATTGGAACGCTGCTCTGCTAGTCTAGATTAAAAACTTCCCAGAGGTGCCAGATGAGACCATCACAGCCAGGAGCAGAGCCAGCAAGTAAAACCACATAAATAACACTTATAACAGTCCTTCTTCAAGGCAGCCAGTAGCTAAAGCCAAGAGACAAAACCTAGGGAGATTGCTGGAATTAAGAACAACAAGTGACAATGAGAAAAATGAAACAAATAAACATACTGAGAAAAAGCTAGCATATTCTTTGTAAAGGGAAGAGCCTCCTTACCCGGGCAGCAGCCCAGAAGTCTCTTACACACAGAGGCTGGGGGGCGGGGCGCGTGTCCCTGTGCACAGGGCTACAACCACCACCCCACTCCGCTATAGAAGCCAGGTACGCCCAAGCA